CCCTGACTTAGATCAGCCCAGAGGTTGTTTCAGGGTGTAAATGAAATTCAAAGGTTGACTGCTTATTCCCATGTCTTGTAGCTTCAAGATGGCAGTCAAGAACATGGAAGTATGTTGTCGGAACCGAGGACTAGGTGAACCAGTATCGTATTCCACTCCTACCATACTGGCCTACCCTCATGCTACAAGCACGCCATATTTATCAATGAATCTTGGAGGCCTCGATAGCATGATGACACAGGATCAAATTGGTCTAGCGAGGCGGTCAGATCGTTATGTCGCGCGGGTCAACCTTGCAATGCCTTCTTTACAACCAATGGTAAGTTAGTACTGTGCTTGAGTGGATCACAAGTAGACTCTGTATAATAGGCTTCGCACCATCACATGATGGCAGCCATGACAGGAGGCATGACTTTACTGTATACCACAGCATTTTAGAGCAGTTTTTGTATGACTGTGAAAAGCTCAGTGCCGTAAGCATGGTGTGCCGTGACCGTGATACTTTCTAGAATTTTATTTGGCTGATTTTTTTCACGCGCAATGTGATTGGTCTTGCATTGCCTTGACCTTGGCGTGACCATTGGATGGAGAGTAAATTCTCATGCTGTGTCACGACTGTGTTCATGCCGTGAACTTTTCACAGTCATTTGATAACTGCACTATCCTCCACTTTCTACCTGGCAAGTGATAACCATTAATAACATTTAATATTATTATTTCCAGCCTAATGTTCAGCCTCGGCAGGAATTTCTACCAGCCCACTGCACCCCTCAACGTGCCATCCTCTGTCAAACTGATAATGTCTCACCCAAAAAGCATGTTTTTGGTGGCCAGCAAGTCCAACAGGTAAAATAACTGGAAAGTCCTATTGGTCAATGTCAACCATACCAGTACTTCTGTCAAATAAAACACAGGAAGCCCAGTTTTATTAATTCAAGGGTTTTTTTTCTGTGTAATTTTCTAGCCTCTTCCAGTCGTTGTATCGATGGGTTTGCCTAATAACAATGTACAGTTACAACCTTCAGCGGCTCTGTATGCCAAAGTGCCGGTAAGACACTTAATTTTGAGTCTTTAGATTTCATTATTATCAGAACAGCTAGCCTGGTATAAGTTGCAAGCAGCATGCTGAAGTTTTGTTTTTCACCTCTGACTGTCAATCAAAAGCAGTCAGCCAGTTCATTTTATATTTGACTAGCGGCAGTGAAAAAAGCACTATATGTACTTTACTCCTGTGTGATTTGGTGAAATTTTGACATTTCTTCCCGGGAGCATTGATTTTGTCATGGAAACTTCCTTCTTTTTGTCCTGGTTACATCAGAGGTCCTCTGTTACAAATGGTTACAGGTTAAAGGTCAAAAAACATGCAGCAATATTATATCTTCTTCATTTCAGAGTGCTCCAATACCAACATGGCCGACTAACAGATTTGGCTCAGACCTATCATTGTCTGTAAGTTTGAAGCCGTTACTATGAATTGTTATCATTAATTTTATAGAATATTACTTATAGAATATTATTTATAGAATATTTTACCTCACTACTGGAACTTTCTGTGAATGATGAACGAAAATGGTATTAATACTGCATTTGTTAAGTGACCATCCTCTATTGAGTGCCCAAAGTCAATGTCCCAAAGAGGGTCATTACTTGTACCTCTGTTAACTTGATAACCTCTATTTAGAAACCACTTCACAATTCCCTAAAAGAGAGTGCTTGATAAGTGCATTTATTCGTTTTGTAGAGTCTTCATCATCCTTGGACTGGAGCTCTTGGTGTTGGAGGAGTTCAGCCTATTCTACAAGATGTACTACAAGGAATGGATAACCCAAGGTATGATATCAAACCATGTCACTCCCTTGAGTATTATTTTTTCTTCATCAGTAATGTTTTCCCGTCTCAGACCACATGTCATTCCCTTGAATATTATTTCTTTCTTCATCAGTAAGGTTAAACATATCAGACCACATGTCATTCCCTTGAGTATTATTTCTTTCTTCATCAGTAATGTTACCCATATCAGACCACATGTCATTCCCTTGAGTATTATTTCTTTCTTCATCAGTAATGTTTTCATCTCAGACCACATGTCATTCCCTTGAGTATTATTTCATTATTTGCCGATTATTAACACTATTCTTGTTTTTGTTTTATTTCCAGTCGACCAATGAATCCACCTCCGTCTGGTGCTTGGCGTGGTTCTGATGATAACGGCTACATATCAGCTGAACCAAGCCCGGGATTATATCGCATGGTACATATATGTTAATTTAATGCATCAATATCTATCAGACTAACGTCAAACGTCGAACTTCACATGAGCTGTATGCATTGAAAACAATGTCAGAAAATAAGATAGTCTTCTTTTATGTCATTAGGTTCAGCTATTCTAAAGTTTGACTTTTGACCTTACTCCTACATAACTTTCATGGAGTGTGTGTCACAGCTTGGCACAATCTCTAGAAATTAAGGGTCAAATATAGGCAGAAATTCATAGAGAAAGGAAAGCTGGAGAGCTCAGAAATAACAGCTCAAATCCAACAATCGATTCTACTCACATATGATGGCTTGTCCTAGGACTGATCTCCTGAACATAGYGTTGAGATGCAGCCAATAGCAGCCCACTAACTCTTCTTCATTTTCCTTTTCTAGGATGGAGACGGCAATGCATACGATCGACGGCATGACGTAAGTATCTATTAATAGGATTTTAGCATACGACCCTGTGAACAGTTTCTGACAGGTATTCCTTGCTTTTAGCATCGACGAGGCCCAGGGCAAGAACCATACAGACCAGCAGGATCAGTATTGTTCTCGGTAATGCCAATATTGCAACAACACTCGACTGTCCCTCCCCCTGTCTGGAATGGACCACGCATACCAACAGGGTTGTTTCCATGGCAACTACAGCATTCTGTGATGCAGGGCAGCCATGGACATCATGGGCATGTTGGTTCATCAAGTCATGCCGGGCTTCGAAGAACCCTGTCTACGCCCTGTAGGAACCGTGTAGGCGAGTACAGGAACTTTTTCACAGGAGATACCCCTAGGGAGAGCAGTCCGAATCTTTTTACTCAAGATTCTCCATGTTCAATGGTTGTTACGAAGCAAACGTCATCACCGATTGAGATCCCAGACAGTCCTTCATCTCTGAGTGTTATCACCATTTCAAGCTCTAGTGACGAAATGGAACCAAATTCTTTGGAGACCAGCACTAACGAACCAGGTTTGGCTGGGAAGGATGTAGAAGGAGAATATGATGAGAACGGTGATCACCACGAAGATGATAACCTTGATGGGTTTGGTGATGACGAGGAAGATGAAGAAGAAGATGATGATGATGATGATGACTGTGTGGTGACGTCATCCTTCTCAGTTGGAAGCGCAAGTCCTTTGATGAATGATTTTTCAAGTAATCAGCATACGAGTTATCATGACAATGGCATAGTCGAGGATGATGTTGTCAGTTCAACGACAGATATTCCAGGAATGGATGGGTATCACTCTGATAATGTTTGTTCCCAAGAAAATAGTGAAAGAAACATCAATCATCCAACGACACAACAAATTGGCAATGGATGCCACTTGCATTGCTCAGATACGGAGAGCGCAGACGAGAAGGGTGAGGGACAGGAAAACATTGGAGCAGTCGGCACTTCCCACACACTGCATGAACAATCTACAAATAATCAATTACATCGGCAAGCCAGCAATCATGCTGGCCAGCAGTCTCACTCAGGGATGGATGCATGGACAGCCGTGAGAACTCGGCCCAGTTCTCTTGGTGTTTTTCCACATTACTCGGCACAAGGTATGCCGACCACAGGCCCTCCCTATATTTCAAGTGCGCTACAGTATGCACCCTCGCAGGCTATATTAGTTGGACGTGAGCAGCGATGCTGCGTTAATGATGTCTACCAAGAACCAGTGTTTTTGCTTCCTCCAGCACATTCACAAGTTGTGCAACAGCCGCTGTACACTGGAGTCACAGGTGCTCGAATGTCGGTTGGACCCCAAGGGATGCCTTACACTTATGTCACGTCCAATACCACCAATCCTGGCACATTTCTAACGCCGCTGTCCCAGGCAACGCCATTGTTGTCACATGGTCAAGCCCCTGTGCAAACAGGTTTATCATTGAACGGTCAGTCTTATCAAGGTCCTATACCATATACAAACCAGTATCAGACTCCTGTCCTCGGCGGGTTTAAGACTTATAATATGGTGTCTAATGGGGCATGTACACCTTATGGTCCCTTTGTTGTCAACACTAGCCCTTCTAAGGCGCGTATGTTTTTTCCATAAGGGTAGCACTCATGCTGATCATTGTCTCACTATATCTTCAATGCCTGTAGTCCATCTGACGATTCCATCATGGAAGAATGTTTCGTACAGTCAGTTAAAAAGTGTTTATTGCTAGCTTATACAATATGCAAAGTTTTTGTCTTTTTAGTCTGGGGTGAAGCTATACCTCATGCATATCCTGCATAATATTGCATCTTAATATATATTGTAATACAAGATGCTGTATCTAGTCGCAAAGACAATAGCTACAGTATTCCATGTTGAGATATCCAATGATAATACTAGATATCCCAAATATGGGAACTTAAGCTGTTGCCTAAGTTACAATACCCAATGATGCATGTTGTAGAGATATCCCATAATATTACTGTGATATCCCATAATATTACTGTGATATCCCATAATATTACTGTGATATCCCATAATATGTCATCTTAAGTTATCCCGTATGTTACGATATCCATTGATGCATGTTGTAGAGATATCCCATAATATTACTGTGATATCCCATAATATTACTGTGATTGTTTTAGAGATATTCAATAATTAAGGTATCCCAGAATATATCATGAGGATACCCCATAATTTCTCTAAAGTGAGAAAGTTTTGATGACTTTTTAGACTAACATATCCTTTTAACAATTTTAGGAGTAGGTAATTTTCATAYTGTAGTTTAATGTACCAGCATGGTTGCCATGGTACCTTAGCTTGACTCGTAWTTATACATATTGATAGTCAGGTAGCTATAGATGCTTCACACTTATTGAAAAGAAATTAGAATTTGCAAAATACCGTTTTGCAAGGATGGAATGTTGGCCTCTGAGGAAGTTATTTATTTTTATTTTAGGGTTAATTTAATAAGTGTTATTATTTTAGTTTATATTCTGTTTTATCGTTTCAATCATGTGGGTTGAGCATTTATAGAAATATCTGGTTTGATTCTGTGGTTTCTGTGTAGATTAATTAGTTTGATTGTGTGGGTTTGAAGGAGTTTGTGTGTTGCTTACTTTGATTGTGTGTAAAGGTGTTCTCATATTTTTTTGCATGGGTTTGAGTGTGGTGTAGAATATTAATTACTTTGATGTGTGGGTTTGAAGGAGTTTGTGTTGCTTACCTTGATTGTGTTTAAGGGTGTTTTAATGATTTTCATTGTGTAGGTTTGAGTTTGGTTAAGCTTACAGTAGTTTGATTGGTTGATTGTGTTGGTTGGATAAAGTTTTCGTGTAACTTCGTTTACTAGTGTGTAATAGTGTGTAATAGTGTAGTAATAATCATCAATACAGGCATCCCAGACCTCCTATATATCCTATATTTCCTATAATTTGTATAGGATCCTATAAAGAGCCTATATTTAAAGAAAACCTCCT